ATGTATATATATATATATATATATATATATTCTAGTTTGTATTTCGGAAGAAAGAATTTTTAATCTAACAAGTAGTCTTGCAAAAACTAAAGTAGAGAACGGAAGCAGTTAGAACACAATGACGAAATAATTCGGTAACATATTGACTGAAATATAAACTCCATGATAAATACTCTCCAGATCTACGAAAGAGTATAGAGTTAGGTCAGTCAAAGGTTGAGTGAGAACTCAATTTTTAAGTCATTTTTAAACCATTAACCGCATCCTTACTTGACCTGCACAATTTAAAGAGTAAATGCTCTAAATTACTCTATTCTGGTGCCGCTGTTGTTTCCAGTGCTGCGTCACACTCCGCGATCATAGCCTGACAAACATGCACTGCATCTTCTATAGCAGCCATACAATCTGGTAAATGGACTCCAAACAGGTTTTGGGAGTAATTAGAAATGCCATTCTGGTGAACTGCACTAATGTCTTCTTCACCTTCGCGACTTCGCTTTTTTGAGTTACCTGCATCCGGTGAAGCCTTTTCACTTGTCGCTGAGTAGGTGTCTGTGTTAGCTGCAGATGAGGATGCAAGCATGTATGGATTACCCCGACGGGAAGGGTACTGCTGATACTGCATGTAGCACAGCTGCCCGTCGCGATTAGCGGCTACGTGAAGCTGCTGGGGTATCGCGAGCTCCTCACGCGGCAGTGGGTCGACCACGTAGTGTCGCGTGGGTGACAACAGCAAAACAGCCAGAAGTGGTAGCGACATCCAATTGACCGGTCGTCCGTAGGGTTTGCTATGATCAAGTTCCACCGTTACCTGAGATGAAGTAACTTGGTACAGGTTTACGTAAGGGAGCTTAATCTTACGCAGCACACTATGCACAGCAACAACGATAGCGGAGAGCAAATTCCCACCCGCTGCCTGTAACACATGGACGTCGACATCGATACGAAAGGCGTACCCCTTTCCAATATAAAGATCCTTTGCCGGAAAGCCGCAGTTTAGGTTGCGACTGCCATTCGTGTTCTTCTCTACCGTAGCGGTTTGCACTGGCGCATCACTAGGCCCTTCCTCATCACATGGTTCAACCTCGCTTCCTCTACCGTTGCCGGCTTCGCCAAATTTATCGGCGTCTACTGGTTTAGGCTCAGCCACTCCTCCTTGCTCCTGTGCTTGCACACCCTCTGCACCAAACACATTTTGAATGGTAAGTGCCAGGTGCGAGAGAAAGTCTCTACGGTGTCTCGTACTATTGTTGCTAACTGCGCAAGCGTAAAAATTGAGCACAGAAGGCACAGCATCAATAGAGATATAAAGTTGTCCACAGCCTTGGGAGGGCAAACTTGTCTCATCGGATTCCTTTTCCGCCTCCTCTACACATACTTCTACAACAGAGGGGCTTGCGGCAGCCATCACGATTGTACCGCTCAGATTAACCTCAACGACGCTGCCGTTAAACTCTTCAAAACCTATTAAAGTGTCAAGAGCGCCAATAGAAATTTCTATCGGACGCCGCTGCAGAAGTGTACGGCCGTCTTCGCGCACATCATTGAAAACACCGTCTTGCACGGTGCGTATCTCTGTGTCACTAATGCAAGGTCTATTCATGATTTAGGAATACAGGGTGATATATATATCTGTGTTATATAGTCTTAAAAGAGTTGCTTTTGGCTATCCTTTTTATATTATCTTCCGTTGTAATGGAGAAAGAAATGCCGGAACACTTTGAAAAGTGTTTTGAAACAACCTCAAGGATTAAAAAAACGCACAAATATATATATTTGGGGGGGAATATGTCCCATACGATTAGGAGAAATTCAAAATAATCAAAATGTATTTTCATTCATTTTGCGTTTCATACCTATGTCAGCCTGTGGGTGTAGAGCTGGGTCGAAAACATGCTCCTCCCCATCCTCTTTATAAAAAGAAGAAGACATATTACTGCAAAATCCAACCGAAATGTCATTGGTGCACCACATTGATCGAGATATTAAATTCAATACAAAAGAGTCTACCTTTCCACATATCATACTTTCAAAATTTTGCTGAAGCATCTTAACAAGTTCTAGATATAGAACATTATATTGAAAATGAAAAGTATTTCCTTTTGGCTTTACAAAAACACTACCGTAAATTTTATTCACATGCTTACTCCATATTCTTTTTTTTAAGGCACTTTCCTGTGTTTAAAAGAATCCACTGTCGCTTATTAGCCACTAGTTCTTTGAAGAGTATTTAGCTTTTCACCGATGCCAAAGGCTACTGCCTTGACGTTCGATCGAACGCGCACAACTCCGCTGATCACACCGTTTAGTTCGTGCTCAATACTGACGTTAACCAATGCGTCCTCATCAAAAATAGTCCGGGCGTACAAGTTACAGGACACATACTCATGAGATTTCACATCACCTTCTAACGAAGATGACGTCATTTGTTCTTCTTCCTTAAACTCCTCCAGACTATCATCTAGAAGCTGCATGTTAAGTTCTTTTACTATGAAGTCAATATAATCGCGTATCTGACGCTTGTTGGTTACAACCTCAACTTTGTTTTCCCAATCAAAAACACCCCATTTAGAACGAAACTCTGATAATGGGCAATATGCCGGTTTGACATAATTCATCATGTTGATGTGGATATCATTCAAAATGATACAGCCATTCTGCTGTTGAGGACTATCGAAGAAGATGTTGCCATAAAGAATCCCCGACTCGGCGGCTCCTACTTTCAACGCGGTGCGCGTCTGGAGCGTGCCGTATGGTGCAAGGACGAAGCTCTGTGGTCTTTCCACCAGCCTCATCCCACCGAGAGAAGTAAGCTCAATGGTCACATTACTTAGGACTTGGTCGCAGCGGTTCACAAGCAACCAGTTAACCATAATATCAAGCTGGTGCACTTCAACACTAGCCTCACAGTAGATGGGATCACAGAAGCCAGAAAGGGGAATAGTTTCTTCGATCTGCCGCAGAAAAGACTTACTACTGAGTTCGTTTTCATTGTCATCCCATCCTAGGCTTGTGACGTCATTGGATTCTGGCACGACACCATCAGCTGCCTCCATCTCACACATCGCATCTTTCCCACCGTTGCCTCCTTCTGTAATTTGTGTGAAAATCAAGGGTGCGCCTATGGTACACAGTGGTAAATCCTCCTTATGGTTGAAATTATCACTCCCACCGTACTGTTTTTGGTTGCCCTTAAGCTTTTGGTGTTCGTGATGCGGCTTGGCCAGGTTCTCTTTAGATTCCTGGAGGATCTCTACCCAAAAGTCAGCCCGAGGGTCGGCCAGTAGCAGTAATGAAAGACGTAAGCGTTCCTGACAGTCGTTTTCCATGGAATTTGGAGCGCCCTCATCGCTGCCGTAACGTAGAATCTCGTTGAGCAAGTCGATTGCATTTGATTGCATTTCTTGATTAGCGCTCGTTTCCTCTGAAAATTTGCAGAAGAGCTGAGTGACAAGCTTCGGTAGCACATCAGCAAGTGTCGAAGCGATAGAATAATCACCATGCACAATGAAGCTCCGGAGTTTTGTTGACTCGTCTTGTTCGTCAATGTCCGTGCCGTTACAAACAGACCCAGTATTGACTGGGGTGGTAGTGAACACCGTCATGTAGGTGCCGTCCTCACGGACTGTTGTGACGGCCTGAACTTTAACGGAGGCATTTGCGGCATGGTTGCTGTTGTTTGAATTCCCAATCGTGTTCCCTATCAGTGTTGTTGCTTTAGGTGGGATTAAAGGAAATGAGCCCATTTCATTCATTATAAGATTTAGCACCTTCATAACCTCAGATTGGCTCTCAACATAATTGCTGAGGAGCAACAATACGGCCCGTGCCACAGTGGACAAAGTAATCGAAGGAAATACTTCAATAAGCCTTTCTATTGTCGAAGCTCGCATCTCTGTATGTTCATGAAGCATCAGTTTGATGAGATTTACAACCTCTCCAGCGGCAGAGCTGTTATCACTGACAAAATAAAATAATACAGGGAGAATACTACCGGTCGCCTTTGGGCACTGTAGCAGGGCAGTTCCTATAGACTTGATAATCAGCTGCCTATAGTCAAGGTCAACGACGGACTTTAGCATATTCGATTCATTTTGCGTACACATTAATTCTTTCTTCATGACTTGAACGAAAACATCGATATTTTTGTTTGTTACAAGTCCGACCGCAAGGTTAATAATACGTCTACGTACAGGCATCAAACTATCCTGCAAAGCGCTCAGAAGATCCATAAGGGTGTCTTGAAGTCCCTCCAGGAAGCGGTCGCGCATTAACTCAAGCCGCTGAACCACGATCAAGCGGACGCTGTTATCGGAATGGGACTTTAGTATGTCGATATAGGTCTGTGTGGCCTGCCGAATTGCAGTAGGAGAAGCGGAAAGATTAAGTAAAGTCGTTGCACACTGAAAGCGCACCGCAGGAGCTTTGTCCTGCAACACAGAAAATAGAATAGAGACGTACTTGGCCCTGTCATATGGATTTTGCCGTATCATTTGACCACAAAAATCAACCACAGACATTAGGAAGCAACTGCCCGCTTCGGCCATATTATTAGAGTCCTTGAACTCAATTAAGAAACGAGAGGCTTGCTCGGGCCCGAATGCAGCGAGCATGTCAAAAGCATTTCGTCGCGCGGTTACGTCGATTTCAGTGGCAATAAAAGCCTCAATCAAGTCTGGTGCATCTGGTAGCAAATCTGGAAACTTCTTAAAGATGGCGTGAACTGCTAGCACTGCGTTACGGCGAACGTAGGCCACACGATGGGTCAAATTCGTAATCACAGCTGAAATCAATGGCTCCACAAGGTCCTGATCCTCAATCTTACATAAAAAGCGCAAAGTCAGCCCCCGCACATACTCATTCGGGTGCTGCAGGTCGTTACGCAAAAAGGAGCATATCAGTATAATAACGCTAAGGAGATTCCCATCTTTATCTTTCTTGTCAATGACTTCCCAAAAGTACAAAACAAGCTTCTTAATCAGGTGATCATCAACCGGAACCGCGTACTTAATGACGGTCATAATCATGGAGTTTTGAGGCTCACCATTGACATGAAGACGAATAAGTTGCTTAAGGGCTTCAACCTTACTGTTGGTATTGCCCTTCTCTAAAGCTTCTTTTATTTCATTACTAGTGATCTTTGCAGTATCACCTATACCAAGCAGTAACGTGCTGTTAGCCTCCTGAGAGGACCTGACAGATTCTACGCCCATCATTTTAGTCAGCGTAACTTATATCGTATTAACGAAGAAGTAAAACGTTAGAAATCACAACACACACACACTAAAGGTTAGAATATGCCGTTGCGCGTTTTTCCACTTGATAAAGTTGAAGCAAAGTAGAGAAGTAGAGATGGAATGGGGTAAGTGATTTCAAAACAATAAAGAGTCAAACAAGAGAAGATAGAAGATACAATTTGATCTAAAAGCTGATTATCTAAAATTGAGTACTGTAATTAATCGTTTGTACACACGTTTTGAAAATGAAAAGAGTAATCGAACGCTAGTATACGCTTTTTCTCATCTTTATTATTCTCTCCTCACGTTTTTTAAAATTCGGAGTGTAGTTTTACTAAAAGATGTTGTCCCCGATATGTATTTCGGTGCAAACGATGCTTTTGTATAGTTTATAAACGTGGTGAAAAATTCTTGGGAATGGAGAATGCGAAGATAAACGGAAGAATAGAAGGGAGTGTACTCACCCTTTTCTATTATGCAATATAGATTACCTTCAACCAGTCCCAGATGTTTACACCTGAATCCCCATTTTTCCATTCATCGAAACACGTATCAGGGTTGACCATAACCGCTGTCAACCCGCTTCGCGTGATTTCAAATCCTGTACTGCCATTGACAATTATCAATCGCGGCATGGGAACAAAAGGCCGTATCATTATTCCCGAATCCCGCGCCACCCACATCGCGCCATCGTGGTGTGTGCAATGATAGAAACCAAATTGCCGAGAAACATCCTTCATTTCCTTTATACCTAGTGAAATAGATACCACTACGAAGTCAGGTGTGTGTCTTTGATGAAAGCGCTTAAGCTCGCGCATGAAGGCTAAACTGCGCTCAGACTCGGTGAAATATAAAAGGCCCACCAAACGCCCCGTTAAAATGTTGGGCGTATAGACTTGCCCCGAAGGGCCGTACAGTTGTTTGATGTTCTTCAAGTAATTGGACATAAGTTCTTCGTGCAAAAATGGCACAATGCGGGAATCTAAGGATTTTAATTCTTCCTTTTGCTCTGCCATCTTAGTACGATTATCACCGCCAAAGATACGACTGTCGGGGTCTCGTGGTTTAAATGTCGCGTTTACGAGCAACTCTATCGTCTTGGTGAGAGTCTTCTGCTTCGGATCGATCAGAGAGGGGTCATTAACTCCAAACTGTTGTTTTAAATGAAGGGCGTGGTAGTTGGTGGGAGAACCAAGCCAATTGGTCGACTGCGGCTGCGTTGGGTTGGTTTGCGTTTTCGTCTCCTTATCATGAGCCGCGGCGGACGAAATACGAGAGATGTGTGGTGGAATACTCGTGGGGGGAGAGGGACAGTACGAGTCATACAGATTACCTAGAATGGATCGCCCGATGGTCTCGAAATCGAAGGCTTTATCAGCACGCCAGTTGTAGGAGTGTTGGTTATCATTTCGGGTTTGAGGTGCATTCTTTTGCGTAGAGGAATTCACCTCAGGATAATTATTGGTCGAGGAACGTGGTGAAAACGAGGATCGACCCACAGAAGAAACAAAGGTAGGCGAGGTCCAACCTCCAGGGCTTTTGCGAGATGTGCGGCAGCATATTTTAGAAATCCGGTGCATTTAAACGATACAGAATCTGACCACGGGACTGGTGTTAAATAGAAACCTAGAAGCAGTTAATAAAGGTGAATTGACAACGGCAAAGAGGAAACACTAATGAATCCTATTCTTTCTTTAAGCTTGTCTTTTTTCTCCAAATCACTAAAACTAATATAAGTAGTATTATAGGGTAAATGTTGAATGTGTATTTGAGGCTAATGCATCACTATTAGTTCATTACATTACAGATATATTAGCATAAATAAAGAAAAGATTATTGCTGAGCAAGATATAAGAAAAAAATATTTTCCCTGTACATAAACTTGAAACTATTATTTATAAAATTAGTATCGACTAGGACTTGAAAGTCGATAGAAAAATAAAAAAAATATCTACATGGGAGTTATTTTTCTGCCTCAGCATTAGTAAGCATTTAAGACAAACAAGGATTTACAATGAAGTCTCCAAACATTTGTCCTCTTTAAAAAATGTTAATAACTTTTACTTTTTTTTTCACCTTATTTATAAAGCAGAAGTTAAAGTACGTGACGGTTAATATCACTTCTGATGGTATTTGGATTCCAGGAAGACATCAAGAAAAAACATAGAAGTTTCGCTGGTATAAGAATAGGTTCTTCAAAATTTTTGAACCAATAATGTGGACAAAAACTGAGAAACTCACCTTAAAATACGAATCGAATGTATAGAATAGACATTACTTTGAAAGAGTATGCATGTCAAAAAGCATACAAGAAAATAAAGTGTATGATGCAATATCACTCCATAGAGAAAATACTGTATGTGATACAAAACCTGGAATCAAACAATCATTTGAACGCTGCGTAGCATATATACAGAAAACATCGTATATATTTATTTGTTTTCCTTCGGCACTAGAAGTTTAACTGCCACACTTAAAAAAAAAACGAACTTATTTTTTTTACTCATATTAAAGAGTCAAGTCGTTTATTATTTTTTTTAGCCATATATCTACTAAACTAATTCTGCACGGTTTCCTGATTCGGGGTTTCTTCAATTTTATCTTTATCTTGCGAGTTATCCGAAAGAGGCACTGCATCCATCCTTGCCTTAAAGCCGTTCACATGGCCTTCAATAAACAGTTCAGTTTGCAAAGGAAGTACCACAACTGTTGCCATGAATTCGCCACTGTCGAGTTTCTCCAGCTTGGTCTTCCCAAGTGCTGTGATATCACAATCGATGCTGAAAGTCACTTTTATGTGCATTTCATATTCTTTGGTATCATTATAGTACGCCCACTGCTTCGACTTTTTATTTACAATACGGAAGAGAAGACCATTGCCATGACTAAAGCCCTTGGTGATAGAATCACCTTTGAAAGTGGGTTTGCCATTGATAAATTCGGAATCGGCAGACACAGTAGAAGCTGCACAACCCATTTTTCCTTTTCTTTTTTTTAGAAAGATCAGTAATTAATTGAACGTAATACGGAAACTTTAGTACGGACTTGCTGTTCGAAGTATAAAACAACATGTGAAGAAGTAAGTAAATTTTAAAGAAAAAACACATAATGCATTGGGAAAATTTATCTCTGTATAATCATCGAAAATATCTATTCAATATCCTAACTACTCAACAAAATAGAGGGTTAATATTGCAATTTTAAAAAAACGCTAGAAACATATATATATACGATATAAGTTTTACTGTTGGTATGCACCTCAGTCGTTCAGGTTTTTTTAAAACTAATATTGATTTTGAAAACAATTTATGAACAAAAAAATAGTGCAATACAACAAGTTCTGATCTTTACGATACTTTTACCTTTTCATATATGGGAAGAAGATTCTAATGATTTCCCTAATACATACTCATTATCTATAAGACAGACATGTAGCGATTTCCCTCATTCCTTCGGCTATTTTTTTCCTTGTAGATCAAAAAAGAGAAGACCGAAGATAAAAAAAACACTTAAGAGCTGAGACACAAATATGTATTAGCATATATTTGACCATGGAAAGTTATATATCTATATACATATATATAGATATGTATATAGATATATATATTCAAAGGAAATACCATAGCGTTTTACCTTTCGATATCAAAAGATATACTTTCCTTGAATTTGAACATTGCTTTTATTAACCCCAAACGGAAAAAAGAAACTACTTTACCCTTTCCTCAAAGTATATTCAGTACACTAATGCACATAGTGCATAAAAATATAAAGAAATATTCACTTATATATATTGATTTGGCTAATTCTATATTTTAAAAGTAATATATCAAATGTATTTAGCCTTATTTCTCTTAATATTTTTTTTCATTGCCTTGGATATCACATGGCATTTATCGGGGATGCTTCGATATTCTACTGGTTCGCTGAAAGATGGGCATCCATCTTCGCTTTGAAGCCGTTCACACGTCCCTTTACAAACGGTTCACATTGCAAAGGAAGTACCACAACCGTTGCCATGTATTCACCACTGTCAAGTTTCTCCAGTTTGGTCTCCCCAAGCGCCTTAATATCGCAATCGGGGTTGAATATGATCTGGATGTGCATATCGTACTCTTTTGAATCGTTATAGTACGCCCACTCCTGTTTGCTGTGATTAACAAGCCGGAATAGAATACCATTCCCGTGATCAAATTGTTTGATAACTTTGTCTGCCTTAAAGTCAGGCTTGCCATTGAGGAATTCTTCATACCCCTTATTTTTTGAAGATTTGCAGCCCATTTTGCTTTCGAATTTTTAAATAATAAAATTTCTTTAAATATAAAAAATTTTCTAACAAAGATTGAGAATATAGTATTTCAACCATTTTTGAAAAGATGCAGGGGGAAACATATGCGTTACAAATTAAAATAAAGTAAAAAATAATTCATAGAGTTACAACGTTACATGTGATGCATTCTTGAATATATTAATAAATTATATTAGGAAATCGGACTGAACCCATAAGATTAATTCTTCTATAGGTCTTGAAGGTCAATAAAGATACAAAAATGTTTAACGTGGGTATGGTATAGGAATGATCAGTATATTTTGAGGTAGTTTTATTCATTTTTCACCTTTTTAAGCTCCATTTCCAGATCCTTGAAATTTTCAATTTTGGTCCATATCGCAATTGGATTATAATAAGCTTCAGTCATAGTGCTAAGCAAAAGCTTTCGATCCTCCATTTCGTCTTCCCACTCGTTTACAGCCTCAATCAGGGCATCCTCGTCGTCATCCTCGCTGCATAGCTCGGAGTCCTCTTCAGGAGATGGAGGCATCAGACTGAAGACTTCTAAGACGCTTGGGCCCTGTTTTTCCCCACTGTGGTTGTTGCCGCTCGGGGGATTGTCCACTGTGGGGTTCTCGTGTGTGCGCTTCTTGTGTGTCGCATTCTCCGTTGCACACTTCGGTTCAACTTCCTCGTGTTCGCTGTCCTGGCTTTTCTCATCGTCTCCCTCGGGGCCATGCCCAGGATTCCAAGTAATCCCCGAGAAGTTTATCTTCTCTTCCCATTCCTCCTCCTCCTCCTCAGCGTCACTGTGCAGCATGTCAGAGCTCCCAGGTGTCATCACATCCAACACCTCCGCCCAGAGCTCGGTTTCCTTGAAATAAGGATTAGCTAAAAAAAAAAGGCTAATCCTGTGACCTTTTTCAGTGTAGCTTACCTTGATATCTTTTAGATATTTAGTCAACAACTCCTCATCGTAGGGGCCCATAAAATGGGGAAACGTTTCTTCGGTATTTGCCCTGAGCTTCAGAAGAGTCACAAGCGTGGTGGCCCAAAAAGCCTCAGGTAGGTCCTTTGAGGTTATCAAAGAAATTATAGCATTATTCCGAGATTCAAAAATCGAGTTTTTCTTGAGATCAAAAGCAACATTAGATGACTCGACTTCATCATGAAGCTTCTGCTGAAGTTGATCAATTTGGGCTTGTGTGTCCATGAGTTCCTGGTTATCCATTATTTTCTCCATGTTTTTTTAATTAGCTGCAGTAGGTTTTATGACTTTATAGTTATGTCTTAAATAATTTCAAGCACGTATTATGCTATCCTCCTGCGTACTTTTTCAATCCTTGAAGTCTCGTTTTTTATCCATGCAATTAAATTTAACCATTGCAACAATTGTGCGTGTGGGAGAAGGGAAAAGCAACGAAGGAAAAAGCGAAAATCCATACATAAAAATATTAAACCCATCATTTTCCAAACTAATACTATCATGAACCACCAACCATCTCATATTAACATTTAACACAAATGACGTAAGGTGATAACAAGTGAGCACCAAGGAATATTAAAATCATTTCAGCACGTATAAGAGGGATCCTCATAGGGTTAGTTTTTCTAGGCATTATGCTTTGGATCATTTTCATCAATCCGTACCAGGGCCTGTTTGCATGTAAGTGGTCCTATTACCATGCGTAGGGCTTGTTAGATCCTTGTGCGTGGAGAAGGGAGGGAGGGGGGGGGGGAACTGCTATTATTGTTTTCTGCGAAACGTAGTCTATGTGCAACATTCTCAACGAAGAAAAAGCATCAATAGTGAAATCAAAGCCAGATAATATCTCCTTGAATGAACGCCACAGCGTAACGCGGATGGATGACATGCACACAAATATATGTTCCATCAGAATTCTGCGTAGGATATGTCCCTTCAAGTGTAATTAGATTGGAAGAGTTGAGTCCAAAGATTCTCGTGACATTTGAAATCATATACCGTGGTATCGTTGTAGTATCTTTTTTTTTCATTGTTGAGAAAGCAAAAAAGGAGACTGCGCTTCTTCTAAAAAAAAACTTTCTACATGTTGTATTCCAAACCTGCAGGTCTATGTCCATAAAACCCGTCGTGACTCAGTGGCTCAGAGTTCAAACAGCCCATTTTATTTTATTTAGTTGTCTTTTATTTGTGAAAAAAAAGATAATGAAAAAAAGATACTTCTAGCGTAGAATTCTGAGAACAAAAGTACACACACACGCACACAATACAAATTGAAAAATGTATAAACTCATGCATGAATTGAAAAAATACAATAAATGGGTTTGCAGCTGAATTCAAACCTTACATATTTTACTAACTTGTTTTCTAAGCACTTTAGTAAGAAATCCAGTGTTTGCTTAGAGGTAAGAAGGTATAGTTAATACTAGAAGTATAAAATAAAAATATGTTTTTACCAAAATTGTCATTGGAAACAAAAGGAATAGTTTTTCTTTAAAAATCCTATATAATAAACTCCAAGATTTTCCATTTAGATTTTGCGTATTATATCCATTTATGAGAAAAATGAGAATTAAAAGTGATATTGCTTGTTAAAAATCTTCTACAGATAACTCATGTTTCTCGCTTTAAGAAATCGTTTTAATGTGAGGCCTATTCTTCTTCGCTGCTATTTTTCCATGTGTAATGTAGAAGGATTCATTAGAATGGCAAACAGCTCAAAACTCGGTGCGCGTATCAGGATTACGCATCAGAGCAGTGTCTATATAAATATATTGAGTACTATCCACATCTTCTCTATTAGGGTTCCATGCTACACCATAAAATGATCCTGAGCGGTACAACTTCGAGTAGGGTAGTTGTATCTGAGTCATGATCGGTTCAAGCTGTCTTTGCATTAATGCTGGTATATAGCAGTTCGTGGTTATACCCGGATTACAAAGAGTTGAATTGTATTCACTTAAATAATTTTGTGAAAGCACAGGTTCTGGAGCAAGCGTATTGGTGGCCAGTGGCATCCCTTCAGGCACAGGATTCTTATAAAATATCTTGCCACGATATCTAGAGTTTCGCATGCATTTGCAAATGACAACGCAAATGATAGCTAGTACTATGTCAATAAGGATAATTATCTAAATGTTAAATGATTTTCGCTTAAAGAATGGGAATGATACATCTTTTTTAGGGATGACTGCAGTGTTGAATAAAATAAATTTTTGATCTCTCTAAGTTCTTCATTATCGGTCATATAACCGGGTTCACACTTACAGAAGTCCTCTGAAACCTATTTTCCACGCATACAATTATAAATTTGGCGTGTTACTTTCGTGACCTAGTTTTGAGAAGGAGCCATTTCCCCCTAATGGGATTGGTGTTTGGTGGTATATTGAAGACTTTGGAGGCTAATTGAATCATATCAAGGAAATGTCTTCATTAAGCTTCCAATATTGATTTTAAGTAATGATTTATTTTTGCTCTATTGTTTTTGTACAAGATAAAAGATAAAGTGGATAATAATAATAATAATAACGGCAGCATTTGTAAAAATCAAGCTAACACACCATGTCAAAAAAAAATTTCAGTATATTTTGAACGGAAGGAGAGTAATTATACTTCCAAAACAGCCTTAAATGCATCAAAATACATGAAGGCTTGCTGTAGGGGGAAGATAAAGTCTATGAGTACAACGTATGAGAAAGCTCCTTCACTCAACATAAGTGCTGAAATACTAGAACGCTTTTTAATGTTAACCATGGGGGTGAAATATAAAGTTTTCACTAAGATATTTACTCAGAACATTTGAAAAGTGGGAAGAAAGGAAAGTAGAATAACAATTTGAAGAGGGATGATGTCAATTCTGTCTTCGTATTGAAACCTCTGTTTTGAGTGAGCTTCTATATCATTCAAGCCACACTTTAAAATGTACATCCTATACGTGGCATCACTGTCAAGACAAGTTTTCACTATTGAAGTGAAAAGGCGAACTTTTCATGCAACTATCGAGAATACAAAGATCTTAAAAGCAAGTAGTGAAGGACATCAGATTTCGTTTTTTCCCTAATTCTAGCCTCTTCGCTGCATTTGCAATGGTTTGTCGGTAGGAAATCGCTTACAGTTCAAGCAAAATCGATATTAAGCTTTGTAAACATCAAGCAATTATTATGACATATGCAGCGAAGAAGAGATGGAATATTGTGAAAATTGAACCATGGTAACATTATATTGCAGTTTTAAAAAAAGAGGCTAATCCACTACCCTACACGTGGTTTCAAGACTTTCATATGACTCTTAAGCTTTCAGTACACCCTAACGTCAACATAAATTTAACAAAGGTGTTTGCGAAAAGGAGACACGGTATAATAATAATAATGTGTAGTAAAAGATCTAGACGAAGAAGGGAAGAAAATAACACTCGATTTTTCAATAAATTTTTGTGTATTCGTTTGTAAGAGGGATAAAGTGGAAGTATAACAAACACCACCTATAAAGAGCAAATCGACCTATGAAGTGCTTGAGGTTCCAAGCAATGAAGCCATAATAAAAATGGCAATAATAATACAATAGAGGTGAAAGATAGAAGGCCCTTGTAGCAAGGGGGAGGGGGGAGGGAAGG